TTTTTTCCTTTTCTTTTCTTCTTCTTTTTGTATTCTTCTTTCAATTTCACCTCACACTACCTACCTACCGCTACTTCTAATTGTAGGCATACGGGGAACCCCGTTGTCGTACCAAACACCCTTACAAGGGTGTTTGGCGTGTCTTCCTCAAATCGCACCAATGCGGCTTTGTCCACTTGACGGTGTGCATGCGAGAGGAAGCTTAGGTCCTCACCTGGGTTAGCGGTGCCCCGAGAGGTATTAGCGCCGAGGCACGACCATACGGAGCCTGGGTGTATGCGGCGTCGGGGGCCAGCGGGACGCGCGACGTCTACTTTTATTTTTATTGTTTTATTTATCTGTTTGCTTTTATTGTTTTATATGGTCTTTAGTGCGGTGATTGATTTCGAGGCCGACGTTGGGACCGATGGGCCTGTGTTAGTTATCACATTGCTGGACATAGGTGGCCGTTACGGCAGTCGAGGACCTTGAGCACGTGCCTTCCTCTTTTCGGACTGCTCGGGTCCTGGCATATTTAGGGTGCTAGCTGAATTCCTCTATTCCGCCGGTCTTGAAAAGCAAATCAAGGGGAACAACATGTGCATGGGCCAGTGGGTGGTTCAGCCCACGAGGTGGGAAAGATATCTGAGTAGCGGGGTCGCTGCGGGCGCGCCATCCATTTTTTACGATCTGCTGTGAGAGGTTTGGCTGTGAGCAGGCCCACTGAGGCCCGAGAGTTGGTGGTCAATGCTGCAACAGGGCAAGGGCTGCAGCAGCACAGCCTCCCCACCTCGGGCTTCAAAAGTTCCCATTTGAATATTTGCTACTACCACCAAGATCTAGACCAAGGACCCGCTTCACCTAGCCTGCGCTTGCAAGCGTACACAGTGGGCTTTCGGACTTCACCGGGTACTGTGCCGGAGTCGTTGCTACGCTGAGCCAGAGTCGTAGGTAGCAGCCGCTGTCGGGGCCGATTGAGTTGGCAGGCAAGGACTTCGAGTTCCTTGACAACCGCCCTCCTGTCTGTGCCAGTATGCGTCGGTATAGCCCGCGGGAACGTAAGGGAGGAGCAGACTGGAGACTGGACGCAGCGACGGGAGGAGGGGAGACTGGCTGCAACAGCGGACGAAGCGAGGCAGCAAAGTGGCAGCGCTAAGGTAGGCAGCGGGGAAAATAGTGCAGTAGGGGACGGGCAGCAACAGAAAGGAGTCGGAGGAGGAGGAGTTAGTAGAGGGAATGAACCAAGGCGCATTTCCGCGCCGGATCCATTCAGAGAGGAAGACTATGGAAAAGTGGGGAAGCAGAGCAGAGAAGGAGCAGCGAAGAGAGCGAATGAACTTGGACGAGGATTAGTGCCAGGTGCATTCGGAAAAGTTGGAGATGGTGGGGTGGTGAGTCGAGCGTGGTGAGAAAGACGAAACTCTCTAGATCCTTAGTGGAATCGAGAGAGGTAAGAGGCAATCCCGGGGTTTTGGCCCCGGGTGAATCCAATAACGAGGTCAGAATGGTGGGAGAATGACTAGGAAGAGAGGTTAGAAGAAAATGTCGTGCGCGGGGATGGCAAAAATGAAGGAGAAGGGGGTTGGGAAAATAGATAGCTCGCTCGTTTCTCTACGGAATCGAGCGAGGGAGGAACCGAAATCGGCGTTTTGGAGGGCTGCAAGTTAGGATATGAATTTAGTTTTTAAGTTAGATTAGTAGATAGGGAGGTAGAGAGAGAAAGTGTTGCGTAAGAGGTGTCGGGAAAGCGGCTATGGTAGAAGCGGAAAGTCAGTGTTTCGCTCGATCCTCCATGGAATCAAGCGGAGTAACGTTATAAATAAGGGGTTTCAGGTGGTGCAAACTTCGTGGTGTCATTGATTTTTGTGAATGATGAAGAGAAATAGCAGGCCAGCAGATATGAGCGGCGCCGGGGTAAGAGAGCTGAAAAACGATAATGAACCCGCCCGGATTTTAGCAAAAAATTCTTTAATTTCTTTCTTTTTCTTTACTTTTTATTTGTTCTTTTTCCTTCTCTCTTCTTTATTTGCCTAGTGATGAGGCTTATCTCTCGTGCCATACGATTCTTCCGATTGTGATCAAGGTCCCCTTCCTGTCGCTGCGATCTGAGAGTTCGTCCTTCCTACGCTTTAACCCCCTCACTATGACTGAACCTGGCTATTTAAGCGGTCAGATACAATCGCATACCAGGCCCTACGGTAGAGAGGAGGGGCGGCAGAACGGAGGAAGGGGAGTAAGATAACCCCGTGTTCCCGGAGCAGGGAGGGGATCGGTGAAGAGAGAAAGAGACTGAAAACAGACTTGCGACGGGTTGCGAGGCACGGAGGAAGCCGGGAGTGAGGTGCAGTGTTCTCTGTGAACACAGCGGGTGAAACGGGCACAGACTCAGTGTTCTCTGTGAACACAGTGGGTGAACGGGCACAGTGGTGGTCGCAGGTGTCGTGATGAGCTTAGTCCAACCCACCACCGAAGTATCTGAGTGTGCCCGGGGCCGGATAACTAGTCGTGCCTATAGTAGAGATGAATGTGAGCATGAGAAAGATAACGAGGAGTTGAGGAGGTAAGGGAGAAAATCGAAGAAGGAAAGGAGGCTGAGATCAACCGACCGGTATGTTGCATGGCCGGTCGAATTGAGAGGGCATGCCTACTGGAAGCCGGAGGGTAGTGAGCTATGCGTATACATAAGTAATCTGTGAGAATGTTAGTTTGATTATAACACTGTTGCATGATTTGTATAGGCATGCACGTTAGTGACTGCTATTGAGACATGCGAGTCATTTTTTAGAATAGAGTAGTTGTGCGACCACAGCCTCA